CTCTATCTCTATCTCTATCTCTATCTCTATCTCTATCTCTATCTCTATCTCTATCTCTATCTCTATCTCTATCTCTATCTCTATCTCTATCTCTATCTCTATCTCTATCTCTATCTCTATCTCTATCTATGCATGCGTGGGTTGTTTTTAGAAGTGGGGAGGAGGGTGACTGCCCTTGCTTTAATGTAATCTTTCACCTACTCCATGAGAGGCAAAGAAGATACATGGCACTTGCAGTATGTTCAAATGCACTGGTTAATTGCTTCAGTTTGGAAATGGGGTATCCCTCCCTCCCTCCCTCCCTCCGCATTGTTGAGCTCAATGTTTTGACCGCGTGCATGTACAAACTGAGTATTTACTTCCTTTGCATGCCTCTCAGTCCTGAAAGCCCTAGGCCCTGCTTGCCCTTTATTGTGTGAAACAGCAAAAAACAGAAGTGTAAGTCATTCATTGTCTTCCTCTTTCCCCCTGCAAATTGGATAAGGAGAACAGGAGAGAGGTAAAGAAGCAAGACTCCATTGCACACCTCTTGCCACACTTGGGCCTGTGTGTGGAAGACCCCCTTTCTGGCTGATCCGCTGACCTTTGCAGAGGTTTGCATGCATGTGTTCATTTATCCCCCCACAAGTGCAGTTCCTGGACTCAGCTGGGGAAGGAAGGAGGCAACGTTCACCAGCTCTGTTATGAGTGATGGTGCTACTTTGGGAATGATATAATGGACTTTAGTGCCCTCTTCAAAATAAAGCATTAGGCTGGGAGACCTTGATTCAGATCTCCTCTCTGCCATGAAGCTCACTAGCTGGCATTAAGCTTCCTTTCACCCAAATGGAGCAAAGTTCAGGCTGTAGAAAGAAGTGTGGAAAGATGTTTGGGCTTGGTGTGGTGGACATTCCAAAGCCAGTTGTTTACTCAGCAGGACTGTGATGGATTTTCAGTGTTTTCCAAGGACGGTAGCTTCAGTCACCTCTTTTGCTGGATTATGGTTAGAGTGTTACAGTAAGCCTGAGAAGATCTGGCTTCAAATTCCAAGCCTATATACATATTTTACTGGATGGCTGTAGCAGGAGAATCTACCACATAGAGTTGTAAGAACAAGATTGGGGATAGAAGGATAATGTTGACAAATGTAGAAACAAGAGTGTATAAACGCAGCTGATAACAAATGAAAATAATGCGTTGTCCTTAGATTGTAAAAGGGAAGCTCAGTGAAAGGTCACTAATTTTATTTATCTCCTGCTTTTATGTTGTACAACTCAAGGTATCATACATAATGTTCCTATTGCCGTCTGCTTTCCCCACCACAACAACCCTGTGAGCTGGGTTAGGCTGAGAAAAAAAAAATCACTGGTCCAACGCCGTCCAACTGGTTTTCATGCTTAAGGGAGGACTAGAATTCTAGGTATTCAGTTCAGCACTTTAACTACTACACCACCCTGGCTCTCAGTTCTAAATTCTCTAAATTAAGTGAATTAAATTCTCAGTGAATTTAGAGATGTCAAGAGTTACTTACCAAGCAGTTCCCAATACCACAGAAAGCATATTTCCTTGGAAGTGACCCAGCCTCTATAAGATTAAGGCTTCCAAGGAACAGGATCCTTCAAAGAAATTCTGCTTTTTTCTTTGTTGAAAGGTGGCATCAGAATCTATTAATTGGTGAGATTCCATGGACAATCTACTATCCATGCAGTTCTAAAAAGTGACATGGAGTAAAACATGTGGCATTGATTTCTGTCCACCATAATGAGAACATCTGTCAATTTTATCTATTAGGATGAACCACCTACTTCATTCCTCATCCTTCTCCAGGTTTGCTTTGCCCCCCCCCCCGCTGTTTTTGAAAAGCAATAAAAAAAGATTAAAAAAAAATTCCCCTCCATGCAGATGGAACTTGGAATCCCACGTACTTTTAAAAATATAATTTATTGCAGTTTAAAAAGAGAGAGAGAAAATACAGGAACAACAATATCCAGAAGGAGAAGAAAAGCAGTAACAGACACATGCCCAACAAATTAATGGGTTATGAAGTTTAATACCCAAAGAAAATAAAAAGAATAAAATAAGCCAACAGGAAAAAAAAAAACTCTTAAAATTAACATATTGATTTGATATAAATCACCAAAATGTAGCACATATGCATGTAATCATGTAATAACGAAGTTGGAATCCCAAGTGCCTGAAGGACTCCAAGTTGGGAAGATTAATTTAGCCTCTTTGTTTGTAATTGTTCCAAGTACTTTTTTCCCCCCAGCCTGGGAAAGCGTGTATGATGTGAGCTTCTGGGGATTACAGGGTTGCGAGAACAGGTTGCTGAAAAAAAACCCTCTTTTGTTATTTTGACCAGTGACCATGTCACTGTCTCATTTCCTTTCTCCATCTTCTCTGCTAGATAGATCTAACCATGTTGTTCATCTCCTCATGGTCTCCCATTCTTCCTACAGGTCCCAAGGCTGGCTAGGTGGTTGGTTGCCAGCCTGGCGGCCCACCTCTATGTCCCACCTCAAGAATGTGGAAGCTCGGATCCTGCAGTGTAAGAAGGGTTTGTCTGCTCATTTTGGGTGGGGGTCCCATCTCCTTGTCAAGAGTTGCAAAGGAGGTCTCTTTGTAGGCACCACCTACAAAGACACATTTATGAGACGTGTTGGCCGCAGCACATCCGATCTGCAGATATGTGGAGGGTTTTTCCTCACTGCTGATCGTTGCCCATAACAGTTCTCATTGCTCCTATTCAGTTAGGTTTAATTCATGACATCTTTAAACAGTCCTCATGGGTTTCATTTATGCCTGCCTAAGGTTGTGTGGGAACGCGTTTGGCAAAGAAGGTCGAACATTCTTCCTTTGTTTTCCAACAATGCAGCTACTCGTGATGGCCTTGGAGCAGAGGCATTCTGTTCTTGAATTGCAGAAAGAAGGCAGTGAGAGGGATCCCATTGAAAAGTTTTAATCCTATCAAAAGGTTTTGAAACGGAGTAACCTCAAGCGGCCTTTGGAGTCAGCAGAAGCTGGCTGAACACCTTCCATGGGTGCTACGGCAACATAACACAGGGCCTGCATTTTAGATTTAAAAATAACCCCAGTGGGGAAAAAAAAATCTTGTACGATGAGCCGACGAAGGGAACATTGGAGCATTCTTGTGGGAAGTCTCCCAGAGGCCTTGCATTTTATCTCTCTTCGGTTCTGATTCTGAAAATGGGCTTCACCTTGGCCAGATTGGATGTTCTACCCTCTACACTTCTGTGGGGATGGTATAAAAACATCCTTTTCAGCAGCGCTTCTGCCCATGTGGAGATGGCTCTGTGGAATCCCTAAGCCAGATGTTCCTTTGTTGCTCTCTCTCTAGGGAATCAAGGAAGATCCATATTTATCCCACTTTAAAGAACCACCCTGGTAGAGAGCACAATGTCTATCTGTCACTGCTTCTATCTGACCAGGACCCTGATCTGTCTTCCCAGGTTGCCCAATTTTATGCTATCATTTGTTGCATCCATCCTACCTCCGGTTGAAGTTTAGCACAAATGTTGGTGATCGCCACTGCTATTTGTACTACAATTACTATAATCACGTATTTTATGTAATTTTATTGCAGCTTTTTAAAGGTTTATTACAGGTCTGTGTATTTTATTGTTGTGCTTTCTGGCCCATGAGACGTAATAAAGGTTTGATTTAAAGGCCGCACAAGCAAACAGCAAAATCTCTCAGGTTCTCAGGAGAGAACTCTAAAACCCGACAAAATGGGATGGTCTTAAGAGATTAGATCCAGATTCAGCTGGGGTGTTGGAGGTGTAATCTGGCTCTGGCAAGGTTGGCAGTGTTTGGATAGCAAAGATCTTGTTCTCCATTGGGCAGCTCCAGTTCCTATGGCTTTCCTAGCAGCTGGAACCTCTGGATTTCAGGGTGGCTTGGCCCGACTTGCTAACCCTTGCTTCTCCTTGCTCTTCCCCTGCGTCTCTCCAGGCCTCCAGAACCGATTTGTGGCCCGCTACGTGCCCCTCCCGAACCAGGCCAAGATCTGGACCGTCTCGCTGTCTCCGCAATGGGGCAAGGGGCGTACCCCCTTGGTGATGGTGCACGGCTTCGGTGGCGGGATCGGGCTCTGGATCCTGAACCTCGACCCGCTCAGCAGCCGCCGCCCCCTCCACGCCTTTGACCTCCTGGGCTTCGGACGCAGCTCACGGCCCCCCTTCCCTCAGGACGCCCAAGGGGCCGAGGAAGAGTTTGTGAGCTCCATCGAGGCCTGGCGCAAGGAGATGGGCATCCCCAGCATGATCCTGCTGGGCCACAGTTTGGGAGGGTTCCTGGCAGCCTCGTACAGCTTGCAGTACCCAGAGAGGTAAGCTCGTCTACCTGGTTCCCAGGTAATCACACTGATGTAGGTTCGATCACTTCCCCCTTGGAGTGGGAGGGCCCCCCTGGGCTTTCCCATCTGGGGAGCTGCCAGGGACCCCAAAAGCTTCTTCTAAACCAAGATGGACTGAGGGTGGCCTGGTTTCCTGTGTGTGCAAATGGTGTGCGAAGATCCCTTTGGTATCCCAGGGTGAGGGAATCCAAAACACGGGCCCTGTTTTTGCATCTTAAAGAGGGAAGGGGATGCTATAATGCTTGCAAATTCAGACAGCATCTATTTCACCCCTTACATTTCTCATCTGCCGGGACTCTGGCCCTAACCAGTTTTGGTTTGTGTGGTCCTCCCCACTCTGTGTCAACCTCAGGCTGATGTCAGTTGCGTTTCCTTCATTTAAAACGAGATGCATCCCATGTAGGCAATATGTGGGCTTGTGAGGCACTTGCCAAGAATCAAGACTGACTTGAAGGTGCAAAAAGAAATATATTACATTTTTGGGAGGTTCACCTAACAGAGCCAAGTACAAAGTAGAGCTGAAGTGTGCAGAGGTACGCTAAGAATGAAGGATGGTGCCCGTGGAAGCACGCTAACCAAGACAGAAATCTTCCCCAAACTTCCTTTTTTAGCAGCCTTAATAGAGAACATTTGTTGTTCCTGTTAGATCACTTAATCTGAAAGGCATGCACATTTAGAAGACGCCCCCAGTGCTAGCATTTCTTTTTTAAAAAAGGGAGGGGGCATTTTCTCCCATTCCTTGATCCCCAGAACTCCTGGACTGGCTCATGGGTTTACGTGGACTCGACGCCAGCAAGATAGTCTCTGTCTGCTGACTTAAATTTCTAAAAGAAACGAGTTACACACAAACACACACATGCACCAAAAAAAAAGGAAAAAAAAGCAGGGAGGGAAGAGGAAAACAGCAAGTTCCAGATGTAGTTTTTAGAAGTGAAACTGCCATTCTCATGATCAGCTGGTGATATTTTAGAGAAAACAACAGCTTGATTCTATTTCAGTATGGTTCAGGGAGCACTTTCTCTCTTACAGTATTCCGCATCCTCTTATATTATTTACAGTACTAATGTTGCTAGCACTCACACAGATGGTATGTCTTTGCATTTCATCCCCTTCTGACCCAGGGTGAAACATCTAATCCTCGTGGATCCATGGGGCTTCCCCACACGGCCAGCAGATCCAACTCAGGTCCGTACCGCTCCAACCTGGATCAAGGCTGTAGCTACGGTGTTGGGACGGTCCAACCCTCTGGCTGTACTTCGGGTTGCAGGACCTTGGGGTGAGTGAAGTTGGCCAGAAGGTTTTGAATGAAACCAGGCAAAAGTTTGGAGTAATCAGCTGAAGAAGGAATCTGAGAGATGATCCAGTCCAACTTTCTGCCCCATTCAGGAATCTGTTAATGGTCAGACTTACCCACACGATTAAGAATTGTTGCAGTTTTAGCCTCGCAAGAATTGGAAATGAAAATTTAGGTGGGGGCCTACTTTCTCACGTGGCAGGATGCTGGCCTAGTGCTTACAGTGACTCAGGACACTTTACCTGGATATAATGTGTTGTTATCCTTACAACACTGTTGTTGTAAAATGAGCTTCCATTTTTCAAAGGGAGGAAGGAGAGGAATAAGGCATCGATAAGGTTGATGGGTGAGTTCCAGGGAAGAACAATAATTCAAAGCAGAGATTTCCTGATTTTTACGTTGTAAAGTAACTAGCAAGAAGAATTCTGCCTGGGAACAGCTGCAGACAGAATACAGAAATGGGATGAAACCCCATGAAAGCAACTTCCTCTGTTACGCATCCCCACCTGCCTGAATCCTTTTTTGTTTCTTTACTTCTGCTTTTCTTGACTTCTTTTAAACCGAAGAGATGGAATTTGAAATAAATATTCAGAATGCAGAAAGCTTGCCCAAGAATCTGAACATAGCAATAACAGTGTACTTGAGATGCCTTTAACAAAACATTAGCCCAAGATCTCAGTTCTTTGCTCTGTAAAATGGGTAGAGCTGCCTTGGCAGATTTACATGGTGAGGAATGGTTTGTTCAAAGTTCCCTTCAGGGAAAGGTCTTTTAGGAAGGAAATCAGTAGTAATTGAGGGGGAAAAAACCTATTTTTTTCAGGGGAAATGTGGGAAAGAATTTTATAATTATTTGGAAGCTGAAAGCAAAAGTTTAGAGTATCAGTCTTTCCATCTAGGTCCTGGGCTAGTCCAGCGCTTCCGTCCAGATTTTAAGCAGAAGTTTGCCAAATTTTTTGACGACGATACCATCTCAGAATACATCTACCACTGCAATGCCCAGACGCCAAGGTGAGGACGCCCTCGGTCCATCCCATGGGCTCTTTGGGGTTGCTGTGGCCCCAGCAAGGAGCATCCTGTCTGTCAGCCTTCCCAGATAGACCAGAAAAGGAAACACGACCAGATGAGCTAATTCTACTTTATTGTAAAGCTACATTAACAGAATCTTGCAAGTCTGAAAGTACAATTTTCCCACGGTCTCCTTTATAGCCCGAGAAACTAGGGAAGGGTCCCTTCTGAGCCTCTCCATCCATTATGCAGCTATGGGCTATGCCCTCTCTTATCTGACCATCCCTGATCAGCATCTCTTTGCTCTGTCTTCCAAAATCTTTTTCACATACCATTACACCTTCTGACCTTTGGCCACAGAGTACTGGACAGATCCCAGGCTGTTAGTTCAGGACAGGCTGTGAAAATAGGTGGCGGTGATAAGGCAGTGAAACATTTGCAAAGAAATGCAGGGAAACTCTCATTCTCCAGACCTCCACTTTGGATGCAACGGACGAAATTTTATTTCAGACTTCAACCCTAAACAACGGACAAAGTCCGTTGTTCCCAAAGCAGGGCAGACAGTTAGTATAATTATGTCCTCTTTCTCTTCTTCCTCCGCACCAGTGGAGAGGTAGCTTTCAAGGCCATGACCGAGTCCCTAGGATGGGCCCGGCGTCCCATGTTGGAGCGCATCCACATGGTCCGGCGAGACTTGCCCATCACCCTCATCTATGGAGCCAATTCCTGGATTGATACCAGCACTGGGGAGAAGGTCAAGCACTTACGGCCAGGGAGCTACGTCTATGACATGGTAAGACCTTGGCCCAGAAACATGAGGCTTCTGCAAATAGGGAAATCAGGCACAGAATTTGTTTCTCTCTCTCTCTCTCTCTCTCTATATATATATATATATGTGTGTGTGCGTGTGTGCATGCATGTATCTCTGTGTTTTAAATCAAGTTGCTAGTCCTTATGGCTTTCGAGATCCCCTTGTATAATTTCCATGTGGCTGCTGTAGCCCATATTTATTTGTTACTGTGATGGAATGGAATTATGAAGGCCAAGCTCAGGGAGATAAACATTTTTTAGCTCACCAGAACCGCGTGGGAGGAACAAGAGGATGAGACTGGCACCTCCCTGAGGAATTCACACTGTTGTGGCAGGAGGACTTTGGGAATTGGGGTTTTAGTCTGGGAAGATTCTTGCTACAGGTTGTAGGTGATAAACATAGCTGGACTGAATTGGCATTGTCTCTTGGAGTTCCTTGGGCTAGGCCTGACATCAATCTTCCCAGTGTGAATTCCTCAGGGAGGTGCCAGTCTCATCCTCTTGTTCCTCTCACGCGGTTCTGGCGGGCTAAGAAAATGTTTATCTCCCTGAGTCTGGCCTTCATAATTCCATTCCATCACAGTTACAGTTATATACCACCTTCAGAATGTCTACTTCCCCTTTCTCTAGGAAGCCAGTCAAACTGTGGAAAACGTGTGGTTCAATAGAAGCTTAAGGATCAATGGATTGATCAGTTGTGAGATGAACAATAATAATAATTTATTGAATTTATATGCCGCCCGACTCCCAGTGACTCTGGGTGGAGGTTTATGTTTTACAGCCAAGAGTAGCTCCCTAGGGGACTTACATGTGCAGAAAAATATGATACGAGTAGGGATGAGTAAAGTCAGGGGGACTGAAATCTTACAGGCTGTGGTAGATGATGATATGATCTCATCTCATGGATCTTGGTGGCTGTCTGGGTGCCTTTTGCCAGCATGGATGGAGTCACCCTCTGGGGGAGATGGGCAGCATACAAATTTAATAAATAAATAAAATTAATTAATTAATTAACCAAACAACTGGGAGTCCATCATCGGAGAAAGATTGCTAGTCCAAAAAAGCAATCCTTGGAAATAGTCTCTGAGGCATCAAGGAGTGTCCTTCTCCCCCATTTAGTCCCATCTAGCTCAGGACTGTGGGCATCAATCTTATCTGCCAGTGGCCATCATGTATATATGCTTCCTCCCAAATTGGAAGTTAGTTTGCTTTCTTTTTTTAAAGGGGGGTGGATTTGGCAAGATCTCCAAATCTGGATGGATTCTAGCCATCTCCTCCACGCAGTCTTGTGAAGGTAGACGTTCAGCAGTCTTGCAAGCTTTGAAAGCAAAATAAGGGCTCTGACTAGGCTGTAGAGCAATGTTGCTCAACCTTGGGAACTTTAAGGTGGGTGGACTTCAGCTCCCAGAGTTCCCCAGCCAGCGTGTGTGGACTTTGACTCCCAGAATTCCCCAGCCAGCCTGTGTGCCCAGCAAGCTGGCTGGGGAATTCTGAGAGTTGAAGTCCACCCATCTTAAAGTTCCCAAGGTTGAGAAACCCTGCTGTAGCATCACCCCATGCTGAACCTGATGGCTGTTCCTGCTTTCTGTCCTACCCTGTAGGCCATCCCTGGAGCCTCCCACCACGTCTATGCTGACCAACCCCGGGCCTTCAACGCTGCAGTGGAGCAGATCTGCGACTCTGTGGACTGACCGCCCCAGCTGGAGTGGGAAAGTAGTTCCCGTTCTGCCACCTTATAGCCCAGCTGCGGGGAGACACACACAGCACACGCTGCTTCCTGTGCCCCCGAGGAGCCAAAGCTGCAATTCCTGCAGATCTAGTTGCAGACGGGTCTCCGGGGATCTCTGCTGTCC